CCCCCCCCCCACACACACACACAAGAATACGGCACGCTAAAGTGTTGCTTACCGTAGCCTTGACAGACAGACCAATATCACACCTGCAATGAAGCGGTCCGTAGTTGTTACGCTGGTCTTTGTAAGGTTATATTACGTTATGCGAGCCACAAATTCGCACCCACCTCTTGGATCAGTACGGCGCTGCCTTGTTGCTATGGTGCAAAAGGTTTTGCCCCCAAAGGTATACGTGTTGGCAACCAAGTTTGGTTGTACCTTGTCACAATCGCACGAGAAGTAATAACAATAGAAGGCAGAGTTTCTCAGACTGAGTTCACAAAAAGTTTTATCAAGCGCACAGTGATCCGTTCTAGTTTGTCACCTGTCCTAAAGCACCTTTGGTCAACTAATCTTACGGTAGACTGAACACATCTCCAAGAACACATCGACAAAATCATTCAAGGTGCATTATTCCGAATAGCTCAACCGTAAACACTCAAAGCGGTTGAAGATGGGCTTAATTTGGGATTCAGATGGTGTCATCTAGCTCGCTTTCCGTAGACCATTGTGGCTGGCTTGTCCTCTGCCCTGGTTACTTTGGCTTTGTCAGTGCATGGCAATTGTTTGCTAATGTTCTGATCATTGACATAAATTATTATACAGTAATATCTTTCTGTCTCTGTTCTGCTGGTTCAATCCAATATTCTGTACTCAGAGACACACATCAACCAACCCTCCCAGCGTTGGCCCGACTGGATCAGTCGACTGTGGTCGGAGCATTGAGAGGAGATTGAGTGTAGCTGAGCTACAAGCACCGAAGTTGTTTGACACGTGCGCCTCTGCGTTGACTGAATGCGGTCTGGGGCTTGTTGAGAATCCAGTTCTCCCATTTTCATGCATTTGACAACGCGATTACTGGCACGTCGCACGTACGGCAGTCCTGAAGGAGTCAGTTCTGGTGGTAACTGAGTACACTAGAAAAATATAGACCGTTGATGCAGGCAATTTAGATCCCATTGTAGGGAATGATGACATTTTGGAGCTTGTGGTTTGCTGGAGGCAAAATTGGTCATTGCATATCCGATGAATGGTACTGGGAATGCCTACCCAGTCATACGTTCTAGAGGCTGCAACACACGGATCAGCACAACTAAGAATAATTATGGATTTGTAGGTGACAGACCGATCACCAAGTTTCATAATTATCACTTGTCAAAACCCGAAACCCATTTCCTGGTTAGTATCAGGTCGTTTCCAGAGAGCGTGAGTAGTTACGAACAATTTCTGACCTTTCATAAGTAATGAAAATGTCAGCAAATTTTAGTGCAGGTCTTAAGCCAGGTGTTGAACTGTAAGTTGGGGTATACGTGCTGTTTGATGAAATTATGGACAGGTGTACCGTAGAGACTCAT